GAGTGTGACAGAACAGAAAGATAAGCCTCCTGATAAGTTTGAGTCCCAGGAGACCCTGGCTTTCCCTTTGAAGGAAGCAGCGTAATTTTAAGTATTTTGACCTGAATGTTAATTCAAATAAGCATGTTTGTGTAGGATCAGCTAATATTTATGCTTACTATGGAAAAGCCCAGAGATACAGTAGCCAAGACTAAAGAAAAAAAATCCCTAGATAATACAAAATTAGAACATAGATTAAGTTGGGGTGGAAAGCATATAAAACTGTGGCTTTCCAGTATTTACTTTCTTGAAATACGGCTTTGAGTCATTTCTGTGAGCTCTACAGATTCTACTTTATGATTCCTATCATTTTTATTGTGCACATAATTTAACAGTTTGTAATAGTTGAAGCCACATGTCTCCATGGCCTGCTTTATTGTGAAAACAGCCTTGCTCAAGGGGAGAGACTTTGAACTGTGTAACACAGGTATGTATATTTTCTTTGAAAAACGTGTATGGCATTCAACTCGTCAAAGATGAACCTTTTGCTTGACTGAACAGCTTTGCTCTGGCTTTTGCTTGTCTGCTGAGGCAAATAAAGTCTGACAAGGAGGGCATTCCCAGTTAGTTAAAGACCAAGAGGGGAATGAAACAGGATTTGAGCCAGCTATCAGAAAATTCCTTTCTTGCTTAACATTTTCTCTTGTATTCAATGTATTCATTAGAAATAATTTAGATAAGTCTAGCTCGAAGTAGCAAAATGTGGATCCCATTCTTCTCTGCTTCTAAGTACTTATGGGGGAAAATGATCACTTGTAGTATAGTGGACTTTCTGGATATATAATTTATATAATTTCTTGTTGGAGACATTACTATGGTGATGAACATGATTTGTTTTACATCAAATGTTGTTATTTGTTGTCATTTTAATTATGTACTCGGGAATTAGAAATGGTTCTAAGAACTTTTATTGGAAATTTTATCTGTAAATGTACATAATTAGGTAGACCCTTCCTTCTTTAGTGAATTCTGTCCATTAATTAATTTAGTGATATGTTTCTGAGTACTTACTGTGTTCCTAGTACTGGGTTTAAAGGCAACTGAATAAAATGCTTGTCCAAAAGGGCTCACTGTCTCTGTTAATGGTTTCCTACACCAGCCCTCTGAATGATGTGAAGTATTAATTCATTCACTTATTAATTAAACAAATGTCAGTTTATTAAACATGTAGAATTTGGGTTGAATAGGCATTGGGGTAAAATAGGGAACTGTTCCCACAGAATACACAGCCCAGTAAGTTAGAAGAGGGTAGACTTTGGTTAATGAATCTCATCAATGAAAGCATGGTCACAAATTTAAATACATTTTCTAAAGGAAATAATACAGATCTATCAGATGATATAAATAAATAATGAAACCCTGATATAAATAAGAATAAGTCTACTCAGATATGGAAGGAGGCCATTAATGAACTAATTAGATCAGGGGGTCTGGAGGAAAAGGCACATGGTGGAAGGCCAGCTTCCAGAAATAGCATATGAGCGACAGAGCATCAGACTGAGGAGAAGGTTCCATGATGGGAGCAATAATCAACCATGTACCATGAGTCTGTGAGGAAAAAGATATGTGTGTATGTATGTGTGTGGGGACATGTCCGCATGGAAGTCATTGGTGACTAGAGCAGTTTCTATTTGAATCCAGATTTTGGGGCCCAGTTCTGACTGGAGTGGGTTGGTAGTTAAACAGAAATGAAGACAAAAGACAATAAAATCATAACCTTTCTTTGTGAGGTGTAGTGGTGATGGTTAGAGGTAGACTCTCCGAGGAGGGACAACCTCTCTGGCTCCCTTCATAGGAGGAAGAGGCTTGGATGTGTTTACATATTGAGAGGTGGTAGGAGGATTCAGTTTATAGGAAATTGTTGCATGCACCATAAAGAGGAGGGGAAAGTGACATTGGCACACATTCTTTTGCAATTTGAAAGCAATTGAGGATTAGACTAGAGTCCCAAAGAGGACTATGTTTACATAGAAAAACACAAAGGTCAGATGGTAGTGGATAAAGTTGGTTTGGTAGAAATAATTCCCCTACTTGGTTTTCTCTAACAATTTAGAATTCTCAGTGTCTGAGGAGGGCAAGGTAAGGTTGAGTCTGGGGTTTCTAGAAATCAGGGAAGGTTGAAATGGTCATCAGATGCCATGAGAGTGAAGCAATGGTCTGTGGAAAGCAGGTTGATGGGCAGTAGTGAAGGTCTGTCTGACGCTGGTGCAGATAATGTTGTGACACCCATCTGAACTTTTCTGGTTCTTATCTATAGTGCTTGCTTCTATAAGGCAGGCCAAAGCAGGTAGGAGGTCATTTTGAGTTGAGATATAAAGAAAGGCCAACAGGTGAGAGAACAGTATACCAGGAGATTGTTGATGAAATACGGGAGGGTGTGGGGGGAGTGAGGGGGTAGGGGGAGTGTCACTGAGAGGAACAGGGAGAGTCTGAGCCAGCCCAGCCAGGATGTGGCTCCTCCTCCAACAGTAACATGCCCATCAAACACTTGCCTGCTGCAAGTCTGAGGCAGGGGGTCTCAGCCCTCACAGCCTTCACTGCAAGGTTGGCACTGGGGACAAAGAGCCATTGCTGGCATCTGGGAGTTTTCTGCCACCTCTCCTTCATCTTGGGACTTCCTTTGTCCTGGTGATTTTATTAAGCTGTCAAAGCTTTTGCTTCATAGCATCCACCCTATGTTTCATCCAGGCTACTCCATGTTTGGTGGAAAAACAAACAAAACCTTTCTCAGTCATTCTTCAAACTTCCCATGAGGTAATATAGGGCTTGAAAGGAATTTGAAAGCCTATAACACCACAAATAAACAAAATCCCTATGGACTTTGATTCTGGTGCCTAAGCAGGGATCTTGAGATGCACCCTGGGCAATATTCCGAGGAAGGACCACAATACACTAGGAGAGACAATACTTTCCTTCTCTGCGGCGTCTTCCTCATAGCTGTTCTGTTCTGCAGACAGAGTAATCCAATGTTGGAAGACCCCAGGATCTCAAGCACAGTTATTATCATCATCTTCCTAGGTCCTCTCCTTCCTTTCCGGCTTTCTACCTTTTAAAAGCCCCACACTTAATTCCCATACTAATTAACTTTATGTCTCTGTGTATGTCTATTATCTCATTACTTTCCTAATTACATGGGGGTGAATTGATACACCACTTTATGCTCCTTGGGTTTTAGTTTATCCACCCAAAAATGTAGTGTCTGTTGAATCTAGATTAGGAAATGTGAGGGTTTGGAGTAGACACTTAAGATAGATGCTCCTCCTGAGGGCTGAAGTTCTAGGGCTATGTCCTCTCCTGGACTTGGTTCTGTCCCCAGCAGCTTCATAGCCAGCAAGTGTCAGTGTCAGTCTTATGTGTCAGGATGAGATGATCTATGCGCACCTTGTGGGCTATTTATGGATTTCATTCAGTGTCGCTGTCTAACACTGCTGCCTGGTGCACTTTAGGTGCTAAGTCTATGATTTACTCATCCTAGCACGGTGTGTTTCATCTTTACAGCTGCTGTGCTCTGGGAGGCAGTGAGTGTGGCTGGGGATGGAGCTTGCTCTTTCCTCTTTGTTTGTTTGTTTTTTTAAGTGATGTAAAACTCCTCGGCAATTTATTGAAACTTTGACCTCTGAGCTTAGCATCCCCAAAAGTAAAAACCACAGAAGTCATTCTTTTTTCTTGTGCTTTGGGAACTCAATACAGATTTTGAAAAAATAAACAGGCAAACCTGAAAAAAAACCCACCCCCTTTATCCCACAAAAACAAAGGGCCAGTCTGAACATAAGAGGTTGGAACATTTAGCATCTGTTTCCTTAAAGCATTTTAGCCACAGCTTTGTCCCTCGTTCTGTTTGTAGACAATGGGCACACCCATGTTCGTCTCAGTGGCTGATGGGCTGTAAGGTTTAAGCATGGTGCCCAGCGGAAAGGAAGGAATCCAGGAGTATGTGGACCGCGTGAATGGGTGCTAGGGAGTATGACAGAAGTGATTCGTTGCTCGGCTCATCCTAGTAAGCGCACACGGGAACTTCACAGAAGTGATTTTAGGAGGGCAGGGCTGACTTCCCTTATCTTCAAGTTTACTGAAGTGGGGCCAGCTCCCTGCCTCTTTCAACTTTGCTGCCAAGGTTGGAGAGGGGTGGAGTGGCCTGGAAGACCGTTGGGAGGGTGGGGACTTGCTTTCTTCTAAAGATGCCTTGGGCCAGTGGCTCTGGAGCCCTAAGCTTTCAGGAAGAGGAGAGCTGGGGCCTTGAGACAAAAGAACACAATAGAGCGCAAAGTTTATTTTATTTTAGAGTAAGCTTGAAGTGCAATAAAAACGTGGCATAAACCAGAGAGAGAGAGAGAGAAACAACCAACAAAGTTCATCTCATTGATCCTGTCCCTTGGGCTCCCTGCTCTGCCTGGTGCTGGCACCAGCTCCAGAGCTTCTGAACCCAACTGTGTGGGTGCCAGGGGCTCAGGAGCTGGTTCTCCTTTGCCCGTGTCACCCCGCAGAGCAAATCTGTTCCATAGTAGAATCATTGTGAGAGACCTGGGGACAGATGCCTGCGGACAGACGTGGTCCAGTTCTGTGAGGTCACAAGCTTCTTAAGGGTCGCCTGGCCTGGAAGGTTCTGGCGCAACCCTCAAAGCAGCGGCCCCCAGAGCACCAACCTAGAGAAGTGAACTCTCTCCGGGGTTGGTTCCAGGGAAAACGCCAGCACTCTAGGGAACCTTTCGTTCTCGGAAGCGGGCAGGGTGGTGCTCCAAACCCGAGCAAGGTGGGCAGCCGTGACCCTCTTTTAAAAATCAAGAAAATAGGAGGCAGCGAGCAGCCCCTCTCACTTTTCCCGGAGGCGCACCAAGCTTTCCTGGTTGCCTTGGGAGGACCCTGGAAGGAGGAGTGGGAGGGTGCTGGGGCGGGGTCGCCGAGCCACCGGGCGGGGACTGCCTCACTCACGCGGAACGCCCCCAGCCGGGCGCACGCGCTCCCATTCAAAGCCGCTGGACTGCACGGCCACTGCGGAGACTCGCCAACCCGCCCCAGCGCCGTGCCTGTCAGCCAGGGGTCCGCAGCCACCGCTCAGTGTCTTCGCAGAGACGATGCCGCGGTTGGTGGCGCGCGGGCCTCCGGGGTTCCTGGCTTATCTCATGGGTGGCACCTGGTGCCTCCTCTGCGTTGCGGGACAGGTAGGACAGCCTGAGCGGCTCCATTCCTCCTGCACCCCCCGTATTCCCCCTTAGCCCTTAGCGTCTGCTGGAGCGGGCGTGTCACTTCTTCGGGGAGCGCTTCTTTTCGCAAAGCTCTGTCGTGAGGCTCAGTGATCTGGAGAGCATGGGACAGGTGGCAGAAGATTGCAACTAACGCGGGTGTGCTGGCCTCTCGTGCCAGGCAGGTGGAGTCAATCTCTGGGCTAAACTTCCTGCTCTGTCCCTGCTGGAGCTGGCGCCCAGGTCTCTCTTCCAGCTGGGCAGAGTCGGGCAAAAAGGCAGCGGCCGAGCCCTGGAGCTGTCATTTCCCTGCAGCGTTCCGCCTCTTCTGTGCAGTGCAGCACTTCGCTGAGTCCCCCTCTCTTGCTTTGCTGGGAGAGGCTTGGAGGATGGCACACGTGCTCTCACTTCAGCTCTGCCAACACCCGGTGAACAGCAGACTTTGTCACCAGAGGTCTTTGTGTCTGGGGAGGGAGGCATCAGTGTGCTAACTGAAAAACAGGTGGGCTTCACCGTGGGCGGGGGGGGGGGGAGTGGGAGGAGTGGCCTTCATGGTTGCCACACCCACTCGGAATCCTCCCACAAGTTTTGCCTGGCCAAGCATTAAGTGGGATTCATCAGGCTACTTAGAAGGGTCCTGGGAGTGTAAAACCCACAGTGGTATTAGTAGTGCAAGACCCTGGAGCATCTGCTTAGGAACTAGAGTAGAGGTTAAGGGAGGGTCATGTCCAAGTGTGAACCGCCTTTGGATTGCTTTTGAGAGTCAGGTAACTTTTAATTAGCACTAGCCACTTGGGCAGCTTGCTCATAATTTTGCCTACATAGATGTGATTTTCACAGGATTACTTTGGTAATTCTGGGAAAATGCCCAAATACTCTTGGAGGGAATTATCGCTAGATATCCTCTCTTCCTCTGTTTTGGTTATGGAGGCGTGTCCAAATTGGGGGATTTCCTTCCTTTGCTTTTACTTATGTTTTGAAATTTGTTTTCATGTCTGTGTGTTAGTGGTCATTTTCATGGTAGAGGTATGCTTTTGAAGAGAGAGGATCAGGTGAGAATGTTCCTGAGAGGCTCAGAGCAGGCTGGGACTGAGGCGCAGGGGCCCCGTTAGTGATGGCACTTTTCAGACACTCAGTTAGATTGTGGTAGAACATACTAGAACAAATTGATGTTAGTTATAAGCTTGTTTTGTGCCCGCCAGCCTTGATCCATGGCGGGTTTCTCAGTCTTAGATCCCAAATAGAATAGCCCACCTGGGTCCTGTGACGATGGACAAATCAGCTTCCTAGAGGAGCTGGACTTACCGATCCTAGGTTATCGCACTGTGCTGCTAGACTGAAGACTACAGAGAGGAAATGTCCTGTCCCCAGGGGAGCCGTTCTTATAGAACCATGACCCCCAGTCTACACAATGGAGAGGACTTGAGCATACGCACAGGATACTTGACAGGAATCTTTGGGTACTGACTCTGTCTTACTAGTCATTGGTCGAGCTCTTAACTTTCCATCGTACCTTTGGTATACTGAGGGCCTTGGCTTGAGTTCTCCAAGGTACTGCCAAGTATCAAAAATACCAGGCAGGTCTTCAAACAAAATCAAGACAGCCTCTTATCATTTTGTTTAAAATGGTCAGATGGATAGAAATTCTACTTCATCCTTGTGGTTTGAATAAATTGTTTGCTAATACTAAATCCAACAAAGGTGTTGAATAACCCATTAAATTTTTTAGACATGTGGGTGTTATTTTATTTATTTAGTTTTGTTTGTTTCAAATACTCTCTCACCTTGCCTCCTCAAACCTGTTCAAAGTCACTCTGGGCTTTCTTGGCATTCAGAGCAAAGTGATCTCCCAAATACCACACACCTGTTCTCCTTGCCCTGCATTACAACTGCTCCTCCTGGAGGAAGCTTGTAAACACAGATTTGGAATTCCAAATGGTGCTCTCCACATGGGTAGAGAGGAGTGGAAAGGGGGCAATGGGTCCGGTATATCCTGGGAGAAGGCAGATGCCTTAGAGGGTCTTTTTAGAAACTAGACTAGCTGCCTTTATGGTTTCTTGTCCTTTAACAAAACCCATATGTGGACATTTTCTAAGAAATTGAGGATATTTAATATTAGATCAAGAAATCAATCTATAGTTGTTTTGAGTTTGCCCAGTCCTTATACTTCTAAAATTAAAGCACTCACTACACGAAACAAGTGTCCACTAGTGTTAGTAGACCTTTCTTGAGTACACTGTAGCCACAGTAGGAGTGAGGCCATCAAGACCTGCTTCCTAATCAAATTGCACCAATAGTTCATAGAACAATATTCAGTGTACATGAGAATTGTTCTGAAATCCACCGTTTCTTTCTTCTCATTTTCTTTCTGCTTTCAGGAGTTATTTCTTTTTGCTTCTGACTGTTGTTCTCCCATTTTGTAAGATCTCTTGGCTCACTACTTAGGCTCCCATGAAAATGGTTATTTTACTGATTAACCTCATTTCATAAACTGAACCCAACTCTATACCATTATCCAAGTTGCTCCCTCAGAAGGACTTGCATAGCCAAGTCCTTATCCTGCACAGATAAAGATGGTCAATCAGTGTGTTGGTAACAAATACAACCCATTATTACTGCTTTAAAATGGCACTTTGTGGTGTTCATTCAAACAAAAAGATATTTTCATTAATGGCGGTATTCAAATGGTGCCCATAGGAGTTCAGTAGTGAAGTACATAGTCCCAAGAATGCCAGAAAGAGTTTGTGGCTTCTTGGATTCATTCTCAACTTAGGACCCTGAAGAAAACTTGCTTGTGTCTTATTCTATGGTGTGAATTGCTGTTGGTTTATTGTTTTTCATTTTTTGCCAGGATAATGACAACCCTGCATGGTTAAAAACAAATGCAGGGCTTTTAGAAAAGCTCCTATTTCAACTACTCTCCCCAAGCAAGGAGTCCTCTGAGCTCAGAGGCTGCACCCCAGGGAGCATTTTTGTTTATTTGGTATATTCTGAGATATAATTGTCACACAGTAAGCTGTTCATGTTTAAAATGTACCACTTGACAAGTGTTAACATAGACATACCCCCAATAACACTGTATTTACCAAATGTTTTCATGGCCTTAGAAAATGCCTACCTCTTATCCTTATTTGAAGCCAACATCATCAGGAAAATAACAGTGTTTTGTTAGTACACATTACATTTCATGGTATTTTGTGTTAGTGAACTGATACACTCTTATCACTTACGATTTGCCTTTTTATGTTTTTACTCAGCATAATTATTTTGAGGCCATTCATGCTGTAGCATGTGGAGCATGCAGTACTAATGTTTTGCCTTTTGTTCTAGGACTTTTGTCTCAGTTTGTTGCCTATCTACTTACACCTATGGAGAGTGTGTGTCTCCTCTCTCCTTGGTTGTTACAAATGAAGCTTCTCTGAACATTTGTGCATACAAACTTACAGAGACATTTGTTTTCATTTGTCTCTTGATAAAGATAGTAGCTTAATGGTTGACTCAGATTGTAGATAATGTCCAACTTTCTAAGAAACTAAGGTTTAAAAATATTCTAAAGTAGCTCTTCCCTCTTTACCCACAGTTTTGATTTCTGTAGTTTTGGTACTTGTGGTCTGAAAACATTACATGAAAATGTTGTGACATAAACAAATCATAATTTCTAAAATATGTTATCATTTATTATTATTAATGTTATTATTTTCTCTATCGATCTCTTATATCACACAAATGTTCATGAAGTCACGTTGGTACTGTCTCTGGTTTCATCATCCATTGAGATCTGGAGGTGCATTGCCTGTGGGTGAAGGGAAATAACTTGTGTACCACATTTTCCATCTTTTGCAGTGATACATCGGAGTTGCATTTCCTCTGTATGCTTGCCAACACCTGGTGGTCTCTTAGTCATGCAAATAGTGATGACTCAGTCTTGGTTTTAATGCACAGTCCCCCGATGATTAAAGATGCTGAGCATTTTCTCCTTAGTTTATTTACAAGTGTACGCAGTCAGGCATCTCTTGATATTGGAGATGCATCCTGAAAAATGCAACATGGAATAATAACTTTGCCAGTTTTTGAGAGTGGTCCTACAGAGACTGTGTCTTGTGGCTAATTTTAAGGAACTACTGTCATGTTGGTAGTCACTGGGGTGCCATATGCTGCACAAATAGAAACTTCAGCAAAGTTTCTATTCAAATTCTTGTTTTCATTATTAGTTAGTTTTCTTATTGTTTATTTACAGGATTCTTTTTTATATCCTGGCCATGAATTTTTGTCAAATGTATGATGTGAACTTATTTTCTTCCAAGTCTTTGGTGTAATCTTTTTGTTTTTCTAAATAATGTCTTTGGATAGTGTTTAGAAACTTTCCCTTTTTGTGTGTGACAAAAATATCCAACAAAAGCAACCTAAGAAGAGAGAGTTTTATTTTGGGTCACAGAGGAGAGGTATGATAACAGGAGCATGGGATGGCTGCCCACACTGTGTCCATAGTAAGGGAGCAGAGAGAGAGAGAGAGAGAGAGAGAGAGAGAGAGAGAGAGAGAGAGAGAGAGAGAGAGAGAGAGAGAGAGAGAGAGAGAGAGGAGATGAGATCAACATTGGTACTCGGCTCACTTCTCTCTTATTAGGTTGAAGATCAGCAACACATTCAGGGTGGGTATTAATACCTCAGTTACACAACTCTGAAAATGCCCCTACAGATACTCCCAGAAGTGTGTCTCCTAGATGGTTCTCAATGTCATCAAGTTCACAAGATCACAGGGATATGTAATTTTGATGAAATTAGACTTGTGGGATTGTTTTAAAGAAGAGTTTTGACTTTGCTCCTTTTTAAGATGTATTTGTCTAGGTAGAGATGCATACAGGGGTTTACTTAGAGAAGTTTAATAGCTTTAGGTTTTTTGTGTGTGTGTGTTCCAGTTGGAGTTACATTTTATGTATAATGCAGAGTATGGTTCTATGTTTGACTTTCAGTTCCATTGG